GGGGGCGGCGATCTCAGCCAAATCTGTGAGCTCTCCGACACAAGTTCTAAGGGCTGCTACCGCCCTCGCCTCCTGATTCCTCAGGAGAAAGCCGCCGCAGAAGAAATCTCGAATCCTCCGGACGGAGCGGCAACCGCGGCACAACGAATCCTCACGGGGCTTGTCGTAGAGATGGCACGACGAGCACCGATCCATACGAGCTTAAGCCCAAACACTACGGTTCCAACATACGGAACAAACATCTTAACACCCGGGGACGTGGGTTCATATATGTGTGTGATGTGTGTGTGATGTGTGTGACAGTACAGTCGAGACACCGAATTTAGCATCTGTCGGAGCTGATCATCAAGTGGTGCCAAAGCCTTGAACTCCAGGTTGCGCTACAAACCGAGCAGCTCTGGACAGCTCCTGGCCTTGTCAACGCCGACTGCCTGACAGCTTCCGAGACTTGAAGACAATGCGCGCACAATGTGAACCTCACTAGGAGCAAGAACGCTACTAGGGGCTCCTGGCATCGCTACCAGGAGCAAGGACGCTACTAGGGGCTCCCCTGGCCTTGGCAATTTCTGGAGGGAGCTCCGGTTCGGCTCGGCATGTTGAGGGATCCTTGCTTTGAACGTGCCAAAGCTTCTTCCCTAAGAAGTGGCATCCCAATCTCACGCCGGCACATCTCTCTTCAATATGAATAAGCTCCAGTTGACAGGTACAGGTGCAACAGTACAGCACGCACAAGGCTATACCGCCCAACCTTGTGCAAGGCCATGTTCTTTTAGACATTCGGTTTGCATACCTATTGATACCATTTGTAACTTAACGCCGTTTTGTGCTAGTTCTCTTGCAGAAGTCAGAATGTGGGTAAGGCATGTGGAAGGAAAAGCCATCAAAAATACTCTTAAAATAGGATTCCTCTGGTGCATGCGGGAATGCGCACATGTGCACATGGTGGAAAAGCCAAGCTGCTGCTCCAGGCTTGTCTGGCATAGGTAGGGCTACGTCTGCCTGCAGGCTCGATTGCGTTCTTCTCAAAGGAGTTGACAGGGGCCTTACTTGCTCGCCTCCCAGCTTTCCTCCGATTCACTGCTGCTGCCTCTGCAGAAAAAGCATGTATAATCACTCCTCTTGCCAAGAGCGGTGTCACTGGTGCAGCTTGTGCCTGCCATCCCACCGTTCATCAACCTCAGAAGAATCTTGAGAGAAAAATTGAGAGCCGAGCTGGCAACCCATCTTATCAAAGGCACAGAAAGTCACGGGCCTCCGGATCGGAGCCTGGAAAAGCTTCTTGAGGAGTGCAAGGGTTTCGGTGAAAGCTTCTTAAACCTCTAGGAGTTGTATAAGACCATAAAGACTAATAAAGACCTTATAGGATCTATATCTTCAGTGTCCTCAAGCCATACTGTGAAGACTCGTGGGAGCGTGTGAGGTGCTTCACAAAGAATGCAATAAGTTCTAGGCTGAAAGTTGCATGTCAAATGCATATCACATCATGACACACAAGAAATGATACGAATGACAGGGCCAACAGGTATTTGCAACAAATAATTTGTGTACGTAATACTACCTGTAGGTAGTAGTAGGTGGTCTGTCACACACTCAATTTGCTCAACTTCGGCTAGGCGGCTAGGCGATCACTCAGGCTTTGGCCATTGAAAAAGTCTTCGTAGATTTGAAAAGCATCCTGGCAATCTGAACTGTTAACCAATTCAGTACAGCACCTCACAACTGAGTCTCACCACTTCAAAGGTAACAAAACAAAACTACAACTTTTGACATCCATGCTCTGGCTCTACAAGCTTGGTAGCAGCTTTTTGTGCTGGTATCAGAGTCAGCCCAGAAATTCCAACAAGTCCGCATCGTCTTCGCCTGGCACATGTGGAGACTGGAAAACTATTGAGGGGCACCTGCTTCCAAAGTCTTAAACACTTTTTCCACTCCAAGTCGCAAATGGTATGGATGATGTTGGCGACATGCGCGCACATCATGAGGGCAAGCTTTTCGTCAACTTCTGTGAAAACTGGCCCTCCACCTTTTCGTGGCCTCATGCTTCGATGCCACACAGTCATATATAGTTATAGAAATAAATCATGCAAATCCTAGGGGGGAATCAGTTGTCCTACAAAAGTATCTCAATCCAAAGGTTCTATCGGATTCTATTCGTTGACTCTTCCTCCCCGTATACGTCCACGTCCAAGAGACTTCTTGTTGATGACCTCCACCATTCCAAGCACTTCTCCAGTGCGGCGGCTCAAAATGGGACATACGAGCACGCTGCAAGCACGAGTTCCACTTCCAGAGTTGGTGTGTGTGTTTGAAAACCTGGGATCAGAAAAAACCACCGGAACGTTCAGCAGGAGCTTTGTCTCGAACACATGTTTTTTGGTGCCACCATCTTTCAGCTTTAGCCTGCTCGGCCGTTCCAGCAACTTCTCTAAGTAAGATTTGAAGTCTTCAGACGTGGACTCCTGAGATTTGTCAACCAAATGCGCTACTTCAGATGCTTTGAACTGCAAGTCTGCTAATGCACTGGTGATCGCGCCATTGCTGTAGTCCTGTTCTTCGGTGAAAGCCTTGAACTCGGACAACTGCGCTGCACTAAGCTGCCACCGCTTGGCGAACATCCATACAAACTTGGTATCCTTGTCTACGAAGTATAAGGTGCATCGCTCAGCTTCAAATTGGGCAGGCCCATCTACCGCAAAAGTCTTGCAAATTGTCTGCAACTCTGCATGCTTCTTCTGCCTCTCGACTTTGGTCAAATCCAGAAAGCACAAATTCAGCATACCGAGCAGGCAGCCGCAAAGAACACCTTCAAAGAAAGAAGCCATCTCAAATTCTGTCACAGAAAAATGCAAAAAGGGGGTGGTCTCTCCAAACCATAGCGAACCCAGCTTCTTTTAGCCTAGGTCTAGATATGCATAGATTGGCAATCTTGATTCGTTTGTGCGGATCGTCGGCACAAGCTGGGGCGCTTCGTTCTGGAAAGCATTAACAAAGCAAGGTATGTTCAACCTACTTACACACCAATGTTCTGTACTGGCGCAAGTTGAATGCGTCTTCTGACTTTTCACCCCATGATTTGGAAGACTCAAAGAGATGCAAAGAGCCACCTCTTTCAACGACAAATACACAACCGTTGTTGAGAGCCGCCCAGCTTGCCTATCGCAGATCCAGCAGTTCCAAACATTTTGACCACAGACATCTGGCGCTGCTTGTCTGTGAGTTGCGGATGAGGTAAACCGAGCTTGGAAGCTGCAGCCTCCAGAGTTCCACCAAAAAGCACACCTGCAAAATGACCACCGGGGTCAACAGAAAACAAACGCAAGTGATGTCACATGTCACTTGATGTGTTTGACTCTTTGTTGGATCTGATGGTCAGATTGTCTTGGAGTTCTTTGCTACCAGCCTGAAAAATCTGAGACCACTTGCCCAGCAGCGGCGGATGCCATTGTGCTAAGCCCTAATACTAGTCCAAGATTCTCATCAATGAACTCTCCTGCAAGTCGAAAGGTGGCTTCACAGAAAGAATTTGGAGCTGACTTGCCGAACATACACCCATCATCACCCATCCAGAGGGAAGAGTCCTGCATGTATCATTATGGTGTTGTCCTCAGCGCGGCGCCAAAGTGCCAAGCTGTCAGCACTAAACTCGGTTCCCGTTGCATGGGACATAAAAGCCAAGGATCCATGATACCAAACCCTATCATTGGCACTGCACAAGCAAAGAAGTGGCGGCGAAGGTGAAGCTTTGACGGAGGTGTTTCTGACGATGCCTCACTCTTGTTTCAATGTTGCGTTCTCGAAGCATTGGCAACATGCACAAACATCGCCACTGTGCAATGTAGTAGCTAAATGCCATGTCACGTTTCATCCGGCATTTCTGTCAACTTGATTTGGCTGGCTGGAATTGGTGCCAAGGTACGTGGTGCACGTTGGCGTCGTTACTAAAGGTGCGCTTTTGTAAATGTGTGTGCCGAGGTCTCAACAGAGGC